TGGGGGGGGGGGGGGCAGTCCTTTCAAAGCAGTGGTATTGCGCGGGGGCTCAGTTTTCCAGGCGGATGTCAATAGATCGTCATGGCGGAGAGCAGCAAGATGAGTTTTACGCAGCGAGCAATGGAATCAGTGCGGAAGCGCGCAGCCGAGGTCAAGGGCAAGTTGGCCGACCGTCAGCGCAAAGGCGGTCTTCTTCCCGAAGAAGATGAAAGGGTGGGAACTGGCAAAAAACCGTTGCACCTGCAATTCAGTACGCTCGATCGACTGCCCTTCTTATGAACACTCCATGACATGCACGGCCTTTTGCAGTTGGAGCATGAAGTCTTTGCCGTCCGCGATGCCTACGCCACGGCTCTCAAGCGTGGCCAAGAGTGCCACATGACGGATGATGTGAGACACAACCCGTCTTGTTGTCCGCGCTTTGGTGGGCCAGCCCAGCCGGTGCTCACGAATATGATCGTCGATGCGTTCTTTTGCTCCATGGTATGCAGCGCAAGATTCCGGTCTATGGTTATGGAACTCGCATGAAAAAGGCGGCTGAAGCACTCGATCAAACGAGCCCATTCTTGTATGTATTTCTGCTACTTTCATTTTTCATGCCAGATTACCATCCTCCGCCTCGTCAATTCACAGAAAGTGCACGCAACATCCTCACGGCCGGTCCCCGGTCCACGGCAGTGACATGTACAACAAGGTGGCAGGCGTGCAGGAGATGTTGGGGCTGCTGACGGGTGATCATCATCGCAAGTTGCATGAGCAGATCTACTCGACCATCGATCAGACCCTGAGAGAGGAGTATCCGGTATGCATAAAGAACTGAAGAGTCTACATCGACAAATGCTCTCAATGGGACGGCGCACGCGTCTGGACTAAGGCCGGAGAAAAAAAAAGAAAAAAAAAAGGCTTGGGTCCAGATGCCTCTCAATCTTGTATCTGATGCTGCACATTTTGCTTGATAGCCCTTGTCTGCACACCGCAGAAAGCTGCAAAAAGCACACAGCGATTCGGAAAGCATCCGCAGCAAGTGCGCCCAGCGTACCACTAGAGTTTTTTCGTTTTTTTTTTTTTTTTTCATCCTCCCTAACTGGCCCGTTGCTTTTGGCTGATACCTTGCGATACCTCAGGCTGGACTCGCTTCGCCGACAAAACAAAGAGGTCAACCGCCCTAAAGTGGATGCCCTGGAATCGGACCTTCATGATGCTGAGCGCGCATTGGCCTCCCAACGTGCTAAATACGTCGAGGTGCGTATCGTGTGCGAGCGGCTCGTGATCAATGAGCCTAGACAGGTAGTCCACACTCTGGCCTTCATCTCACTCGGTGAATGCGGTCACTGTGCGCGGGTTGCAACGGCAATAGGCGCTAGTTGAGGTGTCAGCCCACGAGCGGGACTTTGCCATCCCCCTCGTCAATATGATTTTGCAGCAGGTGGGTCAGAATGGACCAGCGCATATTGATCGGACACCCTTACTTGTCAATCCCACCTTGACCCATCTCTCATCAAATTGGTATGTGCGTTTCGTTTGCTTGGATTGACGAGTAGCTCGAGTTTCACCGCACAGCTGTTTCCATGATTGAGAGCATGTTACCCAAGCTGCAGGAACTGCAGCAGCAAGTCGGATCCAACAAAGCTTTTGGTAGGCCACTCACTAGTCGTCGTTCTTGTGAGCACCCAAGCCTGGCTCCTCTTCATGATTCATCACGGCTCATGTCACTGCAGGCCAACCATTGCCTGAAACGGGGGTTGATCCCATCGTCGGCGCTTTGGCTGCCGTTGTCAACCGCGATGGTCTGCAGCGCGAAGGCATTTTTCGCCTGGCAGGCTCAACCATCAACATCCGCAAGCTACGCGGCCACTTGAATGCCGGGCGAATTGACCTCGACTCGCCGGCGGGATACGAGAATGACGTCTTTGCGATTGCGTCTATGCTGAAGGAATACCTGCGTGCCATGCCGGATGCCCTCTTGAGCAGTGACTTGTATGATGCTTGGATTAACACCATGCGCTGCAGTCAGGCCGAACGTCTTCTCATTGCCGAGGTCTGTGACCTTGTTGTATGCGTCAGGTCGTTAGCTTGTGCTCTCGCTGCAGATTTCCCTCCTGCCACACGCTTGCTGTCACGCTTCGCTGCTTCTTTGTGTTTGTGAACAACAGAAGCTGCTGCAGCGCCTCCCCCCACGGAATTTGACGACTTTGAAATTTCTGTGTCGCTTCCTGGCGCATGTCTCCCAGTACTCGGCGGTGGGTTCTGCGTGGCTGTGATGCAACGCGTCCGTCAAACACAACCAACGATTTTGGATCTGCTCGGCCTGGCAAGCCCAAAGAGAAATGCCGGCCGCGCTATTTCTGTGCTTCGAAATTATCTTGCTTATGACCCTTATGTCACATGGTAGATCAACAAGATGGAAGCCAAGAACCTGGGCATCGTCTTTGGTCCCAACGTTCTGTTTCCTGCGTAGGTTTTTGCGATGATGCGCCGACCTGGAATTCCGCCCGCCTTCCCATTCTCTCAACGGCTGCGCGCATTGATACTGATATCTGCTTTGGGTGCCTGCTTCTGCGACAACAGCGATGCCCGCCTTGATACGATGGCTGGTGTTAAAGACTCGGCAGCACAGTCGGGTGTGATTGAATTCTTGATCCAGCATCACTTGGAGCTTTTCGGTACGGCGCCCGGAGAGCTTGATCCCACTCTGACCGATCCCAAACTTGTCCCTGGAGCAGAAGCCATTTTGATTCAGCTGCAAAGTACGTGCAGCCCTGTCTCTATTGCTGCTGATAACATGCAGCATGCCCTTGCTACCGGCTTGCTCGCAGCCACATCGTCCCCAGCAGTTGCGTTGCTCTGACCATGGCACCATCTTGATTGAACAGAACCCAAGCCACCCAAGCCGGGCCGTCCAGGCACGATGTGGACCCCGGCCTCTGGACAAGCGGGGCCTATGCCCGAGGATGCCAAGGGGTTGAAGCATATTTGCCACCGGAGGATACTTCGCCTTCCTCCTCGCCCAACGGAAGTGAAGGCAGCTTGGGTCGGAACAAACTCTTTGGGTCACTTCGAACGCACTCCACCCCCGCCACGGGCCCAAAGCCGCCCAGTGCATTGCGCAAGCCTGCCCTTCGACCCATGAGCGGAGGCAAAGGCGATTCACCGGCTGGTGATCAGGACGATGATGCGCCGGGTGGGCGTAGCACATGGTATGCTGCAGATGTCGATATGACCCCGGAGGAGAGGGTGCAGCACAGTTCCTCGGCACTTGCTGCTGCCCAAGCACTGCAAACCCAAGCGGACGCAGACATCGATGAGAATGAGGATGACGATGAAGACTTTTACGATTCTGAGGACACTGACTCAAACTCGCCCAATGACCACGGCTTGACGGAGCAGGGCGAATCTGATGTGGGTCGGATCCCACCGGGGCGACCCAACCGGCCTCCCCCTGCTACCGACAGCGGTCCCAAGGCAGGACGCTCGGCCCCAAAGCCGCCTGCGCGACCACCTCCCCTTACTGATAGCAATGGTCAGGGGAATGACGGGGCGACACTTGACTCGAATTTGACAACGGGGCCACGACCGCCAGCGCCGGTCTCTGCCAAACCAACACGACCTCCACCAGCGTTGAAGCCCAAGCCCAAGTTGAGCCCAGATGTTGACTGACGTGACGGCCTTGGTTCCTCATGAGGGCTCAACCCAGCGCGCCCAAGCTGGGCGAGCGTACAGATGGGGGGTTGAGGCGTTCGATCGCTGCGGATGTAGGCTGCGTGACGTGTGGCTTGAAAAAAAAAAAAAAGCCTACGTGCGGGCATGTGGTCACCAGCTTGCATCACATGTGATTTTCTTTTTTACGTGTTCTTGTGTTCTTGTATTTGGATATCTCGACTGAAATTTATAGGCCTCTTTCCTTCAGAATTCCATCTCCCAGACCCCAGTGAGCTGATTTCAAGCCACCCCCGGCTTTGAAACAGAGTAAGTGTGGTAGCTGTGCATGGATTTCGGAAATACCAGCCGCGCATCAAGCCACTGTGTGAATGTTGGCTGGCTGATAGTCAGTACGCAAACACCAGATTAAACACAAAACTAAAACCCGGAAAAAAAAAAAAAAAAAAGGAGCGAGAAGAGAAAGCCATGTGTCATGTTTTGATGACACACATATGTGGCAGAGGACAAATCCAATCCCTGAAGGAAAAAAACCTAGACATAAATGAAAGGAAGGAAGAAAACACAAGGCACTAGAGTGGAGATGCGCTGACGGTCTAAAGGCTGCAAGCTTTAGAGAGGAAAAGAAAAAAGGCTACCGGTGCTAATCACGGGCTGCAGTCTTGCGAATCAACGTGTCGAAACATCAACATCCCACCCACTAAATGTAAAGCGAAAAGGGTAGCAAGCCAAAAACAAAGAAACTAACTTCAGCCGAGCACAACACGGTTGTGACTCGAACAACACACGGGGCTCCACGAATACTGGGTTGCAAAGAACACAGCACACAGCAAAGCGCTGGACAGAGCAGAAGAGGAAAAAAAAAAAAAAAAAAAACGAAGACAAGCGAACCGGAGAAAAAAACCCCCCTAAAAACTGTTGGATGATTGAAACGACGCAACATGACAGACACGGCACAGCACGGACACGTGAAGTCACGTCACGTCACGACACAAGACGACATTGCAAGGAAAAAAAAAGAGAGAGAGAGAGAGAGAGAGAGAGAGAGAGAGAGAGAGAGAGAGAAAGAAGACTAAGGACTATGAAGAACGACGAGCTCGCCTTCTGAGCTATCCTATAAAGCTAGGTTGTGATGTTCCAGAGATGCATGTTGCAAGCAGCGACAGCAAGGCTCTGGGCATATCTTGGAAAAAGAACACCCCCTCCCCTTAATAGGGGATAGAAGACGGAGGAAGGGGAAGCTCAAACACAGCAAACCATGTGTGGGCCGATGGAGGGGGCCTCATCAAGGGGTTGCAACATGGCCAGACAAAAGTAGACGCCATCTCCAATGTCGCTGGGCGGCACGCAATCTTGGGCCAAGAGCGTTTGGCGAACCCACCGAAGGGAGCGGGTGTGGAGGGTGCGAACGCGCTCCACGGTGATGATGGTGCTGCAGGCACCGGTGACGAGTTCGACGCTCTGAGTTTTGCGCACACGCCAGTCGGGATTAATTTTGAGCTGCCAGAGCAGCTTGCCGATGACATCATCGCGGCGGCATTCGAGAAGCTTGAGGGCCTTGCTGTTGCAGTCGAGCATGACGCCATGAGAGGAGACGGAGCAGAGCGCGACGGGGTTGGAGAGGCTTTGGAGTTCGAGATTGGGGTGGTACATGCGCTGGTATTGGGAGAGTTCCTCGAGGACAATCTGGGTGCTGCTGCGGCGCAGGAGGTGCTTGAGAGCGGCGTACTCCTTCGTTTGCATGATCAGGTGGCGGCGCATTTGGGTTGCAGTGGTCTGCAGGCGCTGCTGCAACGCGTCAATGGGAGCGACCGTCTGGCAGATGGCGGCGAGTTCTGGTTCTGAGAGGAGGCGACGGAGGAGGGCTTGGACCAAGGGGCAGCTCACGGCGTCTGGGTTGCGGCGAAGGTCAGGACCATCAAAGACGGTTTGCTGGTTGGTGTTGGTGTATTGTCCCGAGCGCGAGCGCGTGCTGCTTTCGAGGTTGGTCGGATCGGGGACGTTGGCGCGGGTGAGTTGAAGGCGGGCTTCGGCCAGGATTGAAGAGGCGAGCTCCATCTGGGTGACGTCAAAGCTGTCGCTTTCGTCGAGGCCCAAGCGATCTTCCAGGCTGACGTGGAAGGGAGACGGTGCTCGGGAGGTGGAAGGCGAGCGGTTGTCACCGTGCAGGAAGACACCGGTGACGGGGCAAACGGTCACGCCACGGTCGGTCGAGGAATATTCGGGGTTTGGGGACAAGGCATTGGGAAGCGGGTGCCATTCACCGGCGCGCAGTTCTTGAGCCGCGGCCGACGTAGTGACGGTCAGATCGCAGGGGTCAAAAGAGTCGTAAAGAGCGGAGGGCTGAATGGTCACGGTGTCGTCGACTTGGCTGTCGCTTTCGCTGGCCGTGGTGAGAGGGGAGGAGAGGCGGGAAGCTGTGGCTGTGGCTGGTTCCTCCTCCTCTTGCTTGATCCCAGAGTTGGGTGCGAGGGACTGTGACGGGGTTGAAGCAAGCTGTTGTTGCTGCAAGGTTTGTACCTGCTCGGCTAGGCGACGCATTTCATCTTGAAGGCGTTGAACCTTATTGACGGCTTTTTCCAGGACAAGGGCGCGCTCGGCTTTACCATCAATGGCAAAGAGTTCGCGCAATTGTTCCGTGGCGTCATTGATACGTTGGCGCCGCTGAGACTCGGTGGACCGGTGCCGACGCTTGCGATAGTCTTGGTACTCGTCGGGGTCAGAGCCGGTGCCCCCTGCCGGCAAGGGAGGCACGGATGTCGCTGCCGTTGGCGGTGATGATGACGATGAGGGGGTGGATGCCAAGGTGGAGGGGTTGGCAGCCACCGACTTTGCACGTTTTGCGGCGCGAGGCGTCATTCTACCTGTCTTCAGAGTCGTTGTTGAAGTTGGGTGTATGTGTGAGAGTGTGAGTGTGAGTGTGTGTGAACGCGGGCGGGGGCGGGGCGGAATTTTAAAGCGCGGTGCCAGCTCGAGAGGCAAGGGCTTTACTGTTGCGGAATCAGTAAGGAAGGAAGGAAGGAAGGGGGGAGGGGGGGTGTTCAAGAAAGGAAAAAGGGGAGTTGGAGGATGAGCGCATACGCGCCGATCCCAATCGTTTGAGATCCAACAAGTCAAGAAAAAAAGGCAAAAAGAGACCGGTGCGCACACGTCCAGCCGGGCGCACTACTATGATGAGGCAGCCCCAGGGGCAGAGAGCGCGCGCGCGCGCGACCGGTCCACCAGACGGAAGAAAGAGAGAGAGAGAGAGAGAGAGATGTGTGTGTGTGTGGAAAATGAAAGATGGCGTGATCCACACACACACAGATGACTAGATGAGAGAGAGAGACAGAGAGAGAGACAAAAGAAAGAACAAAAGAATTTGACAAAAAAGAGAGAGAGAGAGAGAGATACAGAGAGAGAGATACAGAGAGAGAGATACAGAGAGAGATACAGAGAGAGATACAGAGAGAGATACACAGACAGAGAGAGAGAGAGAGAGAGAGAGAGAGAGAGAGATACAGAGAGATACAGAGAGATACAGAGAGACAGAGAGAGAGAGAGAGACTCTATGTGGGTTTTTGGCGTTTTGTTTGCTGTTAGTTTGGTTTGATGTTGTTTTTTGGATGTTTGAGTTGGGGTGAGCGCATGAAGAAACGGCGCGTGACATCATAATAGGGGAATTCGTTGCTGGCGGCAGCACATCGCTTTGCCGTATTATGCCGGTGGTGTTAGGGCGATGGCGACATGAATCAAGGCCTCGAGCTCCATGCTTCAGAGGCCAAATGGCAGTGGATCAGCCATCCACCTGACGCCATGCAACAGCCGGCTGCCACTTGGCTTCTGACGACCTCGACCAGCGTTTGTTTGTGGATGATGATGATGAAGATGATGAGAAGCCGAGTTTCATCATTCGTCTGGCGGGGTACTGAGTCAGCTTCCCGTACGTTCCCTTTGACGTGCATGAATCACCCACACTCACACACACACTCGCACACTCAGTCTCGCGCGTTTTGTCCTACTCGCCGGTGGCATCAAAGCAAGCGTCTCAATCGCGATCCCGTCTGGAACGGCCCGAAGCATGTGCCTGTCGTCCCGTCCCGCCGTTCCATCCATCATCCTATGCGTTGTTTTCCCATCGACACAAACGACAACTTGGAACAAGGGCCGTGAGCCTTCCTTTTTTTTTTTTTTTTTTTTCCTTACTCTTACTATGGGAGCGCCCGTCGCCTGCCCCGCCTGGCGTGGACGCCTTGATGGGTGGACAGCAAAACAAACGCCGTGTGTATGAAACTTCGTATGTTGACGTTGGAATCAACTGAAAAAAAAAAAAAAACAATGCTCAAATGCCCCTGTGGTCGGGATCGCCCGTCAGCGTGCCAGGAAGGAGGAGTATCAAGGCGACAACCACACGTAGATCACGCAACCCGCCCCACCCCCACCACACCCCCCTCCTGCCGGTCCGGTCTCCCCGCCATCAGGACCGCCCGCCCCACCACTTTATTCAACCAGTGAATCAGTGAGCCAGTCGGCTGTGTTGGCTGATCGGCGGCGCGAGCCCGGATGGGTTGTGTCGTGCGGCTTGCCCAATGCCGGGACAAATGGCCAGGTGTTTGCCCATCCACCCACCATAAATAGACAGAGGGCGTTTGTTAACACGTCGTCATGAGATATGATGCGGTCAGGGCAAGTCTATCACCGGGATGCAGGTAAAATATGGGATTTGACGCATTTTGTGGGACTTTTGTCATTACCCCTTAATCGGTGAC